GAATGTTCAGTTTAAAAAAATTAAAACAGGTTTAGTTAATATAAATTTAATAATCAAAGGGTTTGCGAAATACCGTCTCGAACGTAAGACGGGCACGAACTGCTGAGCTATACTACTCCAACATGAAGCATCACAGCGCGTTAGTATCGGAAACTGCACTTTATATAGTTACGGGAGCTATTACGTGCTTATATGCTATTACGTGGTACTTGGGTGCACGTGTGTCTGCTTGTGCGTGCGTGCGTGCGTGTGTGTGCATGTGTATGTGTGTGTTTGTGAGGGAAAAAGAGAAAGAGAGAGAGAGGAAGAGAGAGCGAGAGAGAGAGAGAAGAAGAAGAGAGAGCGAGAGAGAGAGGAAGAGAGAGTAAGAGAGAGATGGAAATTCAGTCTGCGTCAGGACTCAGGAGCAGCACCGCACACGTTCACTCCGCTGCGCATGGCAGCGCCCTCTAATGGTCGAAGGTCGCGGTGCTCTGATGATGTACGACTGGCAGCTGGCCTCGCCGACGTTGACGATGATGATGGCGATGATGACGATGATAATGCGGGCGAGGATGTATGATAGCGTGATGTGATGACGATGGCTGTGTCCGTGTTTGCAATGCTGGTCGCTCCAAGGACGCCAACGCGCTCGCGTGGATGATGGACACTGTATCGCAGCAGGAGTGATAGCTTCTCTCAGAAACAGCTCGTTGCTCGTAGGGCGGTGTCAGTAGGGAGGGCATCAGAAAGAGAGCGCGAGCGAGTCGAGAGGCGAGAGAGAGAGAGCAGAGAGAGATACCGAGAAATTGAAAGGGAGCGAGGGAGAGGGTAAGAGAGAAGAGAGAGAAAGAGGAGAGAGAGATGAAGAAAGGGAGAAAAAGAGGTGTTCGCAGTGACGACACTGAGGGAAGGTTGCGACTACTCGAAGTATTGTGTTAGTACTTAGTAGTTAGTTAGTAGTTAGTAGGGAAGGGGAGGAGGTGCGGTGCAGGCGGGGAAGGGGAGGAGGTGCGGTGCAGGCGGGGAAGGAGGGAGGTACGGCCGGGGATACGTTACCTTGGAAGTCGACCTCGATGCGAGTTTCCACGAGCCTGCATCGCATATAATAATAAGCATAATAATAAACATAATACCCGGAGTTTATCTAGTGACTAATCTCTCACAGGTAGATTGTCATGTTGCTGATAATGTGCATGGTTAGCTAGTGTGCAGGCCGGATGAGATCGATCTGCCGTGTATCTGCAGGGCGCGGGGGGAGAGGGGGTCGTGGTTCTTGCGGGAGTGACGTTATGTAAGGAAGCTGATATCACGTTTTGATAGCCATCGTCACACGACTGCCGATGTTGCTGATTACAATAACAAACCAGTCAGGCCGTAGTTTGTATTTCTAATTTATTTCTTTTCGTTGTTTTATTTTATTATTTGGTTATTGGTTTGGTTATTGTTATTTATTCATATTGGTTCTTTATTGTTATTTTATTTATTTTCAACGCAGAAATTTGGGAAGGTAAGCGTGTCTACATGAAGCTCTTGTGTTGTCGTGTTGATATCACCTGGCAGGCTGGCAGTGACGCGTGATTAGGAAGGATGCTAATATGACGAGTCGATATTATGGATTCGCTGTTAAACACTGTAAATTCTAAGTATTAGGTGAACAAACCGAGTATTTCCTGTTCCTGCCAAAAACCCCTCTCGCAAGTTATGGCGTGCAATGGTTATGCAGAGGTGTGGTACAGTCATTTACATCAGCATCCACTCGTTACTGCTTTTGTTAGGGGGTTGGCCTGTCCGTTAGACACCCTATTGTAGCAACGCTGATGTCATTCCGCGAAAGCATTTAGTACCAGCTCACACACGTGCTAATTTTACACCATACCAGCGGGCTAGAAACAACGATCTATCTCTGGACTGCTGGACACATACACCGCTACTAACAGCCAACCGGGGTGCAACCGCACACCGTTAGTTTTCACGGGGTTTAGTTTCATGCTGCACACACCCCACACATTACACACCTAAAGCTATCTATATCGCCTCTATTCTTAAATTGCCGATGGGGCGTAACACATCTCCAACCCCGACTCGCCAATGGCCATTCATTCCGTCATCACATTAGAACTGTCCATAGGCGCTAATAAGAGGGCCCTATGCCTTACCCTCGTCTGTTGCTAAGTTTACTGTGTAGTGCGCAACATTATTTTACACTGTGTGATTGTACGTGCTTTAGTGAGTAAATAATATACGGTGAAGCGGCAGTTGGGAATTACATCCCTCTATTCTAATGTTATTCCTGTTTTTACACACAATTACACTACAATTGTGCATCCATTTCACGGCGCACATAGCACGGCGCTATAGCGCACAGTTGTCTGGCAGCAGAAATTATCCAGCGTCTACACTATAAGTATAATGTTTGCCGTCGTGTATCATGTAGTTTGAGCATATACTTATTAGAAGCTAGACTATACTAGGAAGACTAGTCTCAGGATAATAATAGGTTTTCCGGGAGTTGCTTTTTCTAGGAATAGATTGGTAGACGTGCGGGCGTATTGATGTCTGTAATGGATACTTATTCTGCGCATTGCGAGACGTTTGATTTGTTAATCGGTAACGAGCAGATGATTTCTAGGAACAGAGGGGATATAATTACTTTGTTTGAGGGAAAGTCGGGGAGAATCGGTTAAAATCTTGATCCGGGTCAGTCGTGTTTTGAGATCATATTTATTTGACTGAACACAACTCCCGTAGTATATTCTAAATTTTCTATTCTTAATCCTAAAATACATTACATACACACTCCGGTGTAACGAACCAGGTTACAGTCGCATTTCGTCCCTAAATGGTGGCATGCTTCCAAGTTACCTGCGCGTGACCCCTTTCCCTACTCGTCGACCGCCACCAGGCTGCATGCGACGGCGACGCCACCTAACGGAACTACAGGGATCGTTGTACCAACGGGGTCAGCGGTCAGAGAGACTCTCCGTGTCGACTGACCGCCGTTGAACCGGATACAGGCCTTTACGATTCCCTGGCGAAACGAATGGTCGGCCTGGTAGCGGGAGTGCGGGCAGGAGATACGGTGGCTGGTCGGCCTGTGTGATCGGTGGCTGGTCGGCCTGTGTGATCGGTGGCTGGTCGGCCTGTGTGATCGGTGGCTGCCTACGGCCTACTGAACAGATAGCCCGAACGGTGGATTTAGTTTTGCGGGGCGCGTGCATGTATTATAATAACAAGAGTAGCTGAATTAGAATGATCTTATTCATGTGCTGCTTTTACTAATAGTAACAGGTTATACGTGAGATAGGATTATCCCGTTCCTGTGTTACTGTTAGTAGCAGGGGTACATGCATTAGGATTGTCTAATTCATGTACTGCTGGTCAGTTTGGATTGTCTAATTCATGTACTGCTGGTCAGTTAGGATTGTCTCCTTTTATATGCTGCTGTTAGTAACAGGGGTACAGGAATTAGGATTGTTTCCTTCGTGTGCTGCTGTTAATTAATAATAGATCACATCACCGAAATTTGGCGTCGCTGGAATTTGTTCGTGGTGGTGATTCCTCGTTATACCTATTCCTATCCTATACCTATACCTATACCTATACCTATACCTATACCTATACCTATACCTATACCTTTCCTTCCATCTATTTTCTTTCTCTCTCTCTATCTCTCCCACTCCCTCTCACCCCTCTCTCTCACTATCCATCTCTACTCTCTGTATCACCTTTCATACTATCAGGGGCCCTGGTTAATAATGACAAAATATTTGTAAAAAATATTGTTCATTGTTCAATTGTATATTGTTCATTGTTCAAAAATATTAATATATTGTCATATATTGACAAAAATATTTGTCATTATTAACCCCTGATACTATTTATAGGCAGTGTTCTATCTGGATGCTCTGTCTCAGGACATTCCTATTTGTTTCCATGGTTACGTTGTTTAGATGAACGAATGTTGGTAATATCAAGGGTCCATAATAGAAGATTTCTATTATGGACTCTTGGTAATATGTAGGTCTTGCGGTTATCATCCACAGTGTGGCGTCTGCTGATAGATGCGTCCCAGCGGAACCGCAAGTAGTCCGCAGTTACGCTGTAGAAATTCGTTTCTTTGTCGGCATTGTAACCGAGTTCCCAAGGCATTTGGGGGATATATATATATATATATATTAATATATATATATATATATATATATAATCGTTGAAGTGTTTATAGTGCAAGATATTTGGGAAGGCAAGGCGATATGTGGGCCACAGTTCGATAGCAGTTTGTTTGTTGCTACGTACCTTCCTTGCGCGCGCGCATACACACAAACAAATACACGCACAAAGCCGTGTGTTGTCTATTGTTGAGGTAATATTTGCAGAGGGAGAGCAAATATGTGGCCTATGCAAATATTATTGTCTGCAACTTGGGTTTATAATCTCTATTGCTTAGCTAGGCGTTAACTCGCCATGCTGTTTCCATACAGCGCAAAATCAACAAGTCTGTCTTAGTTAGTGCACAGAATATTGCCTAACCCGCGGATACTGAGAGAAACAGCGCGAGGCAAGCGTTTGCAATCACGGGCACTTGGGACAGAGTTAGTAAAAACTGAGAATAATATGAACGCGGCACATTCACAAAAACTACCCGTTTATTACGCTTCCACTGTTGTGTCACTGTATATCAACTAGATATAAATAGATAGACTATTATAATCGACTATATTATATAACAATGTATTAGCGACACGGCACACCCGCAACGGCGAGTGGCGGGAGCGGCTAGTTGTACATCAGTTTTTGTGAAAGCAAGTTGATATACAGTTATTTATATCTAGTTGTCAGTGACACAACAGTGAAAGCGTAATAAACGGGTAGTTTTTGGGAATGTGCCGCGTTCATGTTATTCTCCGTTTTTACTAACTCTGTCCCAAGTACCTGTGTTTGCAATGGTGTTGGCACTGGTGTGACTGTGTAGTGAGTCCTGTCAGCTGGTGATTGTAGCTTCCTCTTCACTTTTGTTGCAGCACGATGTCAATAGCACAGCTGGTGGACGAGCTAAAGTTCATCGTCAACCATCCGAAGAAGCTGTTGCTGTTTGAATATGTGAGGTATGTATCAACTAATCCACATACGTCAGTCAGTCTCTCACCACAGCACCGCCCCCTGCCCTCTCACGCGTGTACCTCTCTCTCTCTCTCTCTCTCACTCTCTCTCGCTCGCTCTCTCTCTCTCTCTCTCTCTCGCTCGCTCTCTCTCTCTCTCTCTCTCTCGCAAGGCTACACAGGTGATAGGGTGTTAGGCCTATAGAGGAGATAGGGTGTTAGCTTATAGCGGAGTATGGGTGTTAGGCTATACAGCGGATTAGGGGCGTTAGGCTATACAGGTGACTAGTGCGTGTTAGGCTATAGAGGAGATAGGCGTTTGGCTATATTAGGTGATTAGGGTGTTAGGCTATACATGGAGATAGGGGTGTTAGGCCCTATACAGGTGATAAGTGGTCGGCTTAGGTTAATATATATGGAGATAGGGGGTTAGGCTATAAGGAATAGGGTTAGCGCTATACAGGTAGATATGGGTGGGTTGTGCTATGACAGGAGATAGGCGTCTTAGGCCTATATAGGAGCTAGGGGTTTTCAGGTATAGCTGGAGATAGGGGTTGGCTATACAGGAGATAGGTGCGTCTAGGTTATACAGGTGAAGTGTGTTAGGCCTATAGCGGATGATAGGCCGTGTTAGGCCTATTACAGGAGATAGGGTGTATAGGCTATACATCGAGATAGGGGTTAGGCTATACAGGAGATAGGGTGTGTAGGCTATAGAGGGATACGGGTTTAGCTATAGTAGGAGATAGGCGGTTAGGCTATTACAGGAGATAGGGCGTTTTTTCTTCCCTTTTAGGCTCCTTACAGGTGATAGGGTGTTAGGCTTATATGCGGAGATAGGGGTGTTAGCATATACATGGAGAAGAGTGGTGCTT